CTGTGGCTTAGTGTTTTGATGTGTAATGAAGGAGAGAGGTGGCAAGGGCCTATGGTTGTTGAGCTGGAAGTCTAGGTCAAAGTCAGATAGAAGAGGGAACCTGGGAAGCTGTGTGTGCAGATTAGCAGAGTATATTCTAGACTCAATCCACTCTGTTTATTTTTTTCTGGTTGGTTTTGTAGCATGTAAAAGTTAATGGTCTTAAGGGATAGACACATTGTGAGATGTCCTTACTGTTGGCAGATCCCATGGGCTTCCTTGACTAAAATCCGAGAGTCTTGAGGTACATTTGTTTACCCGAGATCCACATTTCTTGGGTAGACGGCTGAATAAGCAAGGCTTCCTTAGTGTGGTTTCTCCTGAGATTTTCCAAGTGAGGTGTATATCTTCATTACCTGGAGAGTACACATTGGCCCCTTAGCTGCAATTGATGCTGAGGCAGTGGCCAAGGAAGATGGTGTTTTAAGTTGTATAGGGGAGTTCTGAAGCCTCACCCAGAGACCACGCCTCTTTATATGAGTGACAGCTGGATTTTTAGAGTACAGGACACCAAACTTAATAGTGTAGCCCTGAGATGAGAGAAAGTGATCATTATTACTGTGTGCATACTTGTGTGTACATGCATGAGTGCATGTGTGCGTGGGCCTGGAATATAGGACACACAGAAAGACTAGGTATAATAATTTAAAGGAGCTAACTATGGTGGTGGAGTGTTTGTAACTTATAGCAGAAGTTTGAGGCCAACCTGTGTTACATAACCAGTACTCTTGTCTATAAACCAAAATATAACAAAATAAAACAAAATAACATCTTAAAGCAGACATGATTTTCTTTGGGTATCTAGAAACTTCCAAGCTGGTCACCTTCTTTTGACTGAATTTACAAGGCTCTAGATTCATTTTGTTAAAAAAACAAAAACAAACAAACAAACAAACAAAAAAAACCTGTATGGTCTGCTCATTGTGTAATGAAGAAAATTTGTAATTCCCACCTAAAATCATTACAAATGAATCCTGCTGAATAGCAAGTCTTCCACCAAAGGGATACCACTGCATATTCCCAAAGTTTCTTTTTATACATATGCTTTCATTCTTTTATAGCCTTCATTCTTGTCTTCCTCTTGTTCTCTCTGTGGTCCATGTTGCTAGGCCATTTCTGCCCTAAAGCAGTTTTAGGGCAGCTTGATAGGTGGTTGCTTTGAGTATTTGGAGAGAACAGATTGCTTCTGTGTTTCCCTTGCATCCTGATCAGATGGTAAGTGCCTGGTGCGCGCTCATAGAGCACAAAAATGGGTATTTAACCCTGCATGGATGTGTCTTCTACCTCAATATGGTACCTTATAATCTGTTGAAGATAATGTTAATATTTTTCTAAAATTTTATATATGGTGTATGAAGTCTCTCTCTCTGAGTGTGTGTATGTGTGTGTGTGTGTGTGTGTTCTGTATATGCCACGATAGGTGTGGAAGACAGGGCATCTTTCAGGGTTGGGTTTTGTGAATGGAGGTTTCTGTCCTGCCTGGTCCCACAGCTGTTTAGGCCCAAATAAACACACAGAGGCTTATATTAATTATAAAATGTTCTTACTTGCTAGCTCTCTCTTAATTATTAACCTGTAACTATTAATCTGTGTATTTCCACATGGCCTTTTCTTTCTGGAGAATGCCTGGACATTCTACTTTCCCAATAGCTACATGACATTTCTCTAGTGACTCACTATCTGTGTTCCTCTTCTCAGAATTCTTCTTGTCTGGTAGCCCTGCCTGTATTTCCTGCCTGGCTGCTGGCCAGTCAGCATTTATTCATCAACCAATAAAAGAAACACATATTCACAGCATACAGAAGGACATTCCCCCATCAGGTTTTATGGTCTACACCGTATCCCACTGTTGCAGAACTTGGAATCTGGCTCTACTCTGGGATTGGCACTCAAGTGAGAGAGTGCTGCTTAGTGGGGTTGGAGAGACTTTGTCTTCTCCATGGCAGGTCCTGTTATTCAACACAAAGAAAACCAGAAAGGTTTTAAAACTGGAATTGTCAGCGTTAGATTTGGTGGTGGTATTAAGTTATTCTTTAGTCCCAGGGGACCTGAAATCCTTGCATTTTGTATTGAGTTGAGACTCAATTCCAGTTTCACGAATATCATGTGGCTGTGTTGGACTATGTGCAGCATAAGCAAGCAGCATTAACTGTCAGCAGATCCTGATGAAGGAACCATTCTCCTGGCACGCTCCCTCTTTCCTAGCCTCCCAAACCTCTATATTTCTTTTCTGTGCTCTTACATAGTGGTAGCAATTCCAGGACCTACAATGTTCAGGTGCGCTGGGCGCAGGATTTCCAGTTGGTTTACTCCTGTCTCATTGGGTGACAACAGAGAGTTCAGGTTCCATGTAGTCTAGGAGATAGTCCAGGGGATGTTGTGCCATCTCAGTGGGAGAGGACCTTGGTGCCCTTTGCTGCAGAAGGAAGAGAGAGAGAAGGCAGAGTCACCAACTGTGTCACTTTCTCCAGCAACTGCAAGAAGCTTCTATACAGGGAGAGGAAGGGACTAGAGCAGAGTACTCCTTGTACTAAATGAGAACCCAAATAAATATAAATTACTGTAAGCCAGTTTGTTTTTCGTGTGTGTGTGTGTGTGTGTGTGTGTGTGTGTGTGTGTGTGTGTGTGTGTATGCGCGCGCGTGCGCGCGCGCGCAGGTGAGGCATTGGTCAGCCTTGGTGTTGGTCCTTAGATGCTGCCACCTTGTTTGTTTGTTTGTTTGTTTGTTTGTTTGTTTGAGACAGGGTCTTGTATTTACTCGAAGCTCATCTATTTGGTTAGGTGGGTTGACTGATGAGGCCTGGAGGTTCTCTTGTCTCCACCTCCCAAGCACTGGGATTACAAACTCATGCCACAATATCCAGCATCTTTTCCATGGCTTCTCATGCTTGGTCTGCTTGAACATGCTCCCTAGTCCCCAGCATATACATCTTAAGAAATATCAAATGAAACATTACATGGAAGAAATATGTTCATTTGGGAAAATGAAGCAATTTGTACCTTTAAAACTAGTAATATTAGCCAGGCATTGGTGGCACACACTTTTAATCCCAGCACTCTGGAGGCAGAGGCAGGTGGATCTCTGTGATTTTGGGGCCAGCCTGGTCTACAGAGTGAGTTCCAGGACAGGCTCCAAAGCAATACAGAGAAACTCTGTCTCATCAAAACAAAACAACAAACAAACAACAACAACAACAACAACAAAAAAAACAAAAACAAGAAAACCCCAAAACTAGTAACATTAAATGTGTTAGAAATAAATTGTACATGTACATGAGTACTCCTTATTTAGTCAAAATCACACAGTTAAGTTGTGATAGTGTCTGCAGGCTTATGCTGGTTTTAATGTAGGAGTTTCAGACTAGGCCACTGGTCTTTGGGCTGCATTTTCATTTGGCACCCTGTATAACTGTCCCAATAGTTACTGTAAGACCTGTTGTTATGGAATGTACTTCCCCAGCTGGGACAGGGCTTCTGTGTTTGGACCATAAATAATTAGTTATAATGGATAGTATACATTTTTATCTATTTAAAATAAAACCATTATCTCTTGGGTGGCCTTCAGATATCCTTAGACACTTCCAGGAAGGGAACCTCGTATGGGTTAGAGGAAGGTAGAAGCATGGGTATTGTTCAGAATGGAGGTGTTCAGGGATGAAAATAAATAATTTGTTTTTATTATACCTACCTGGTACAAATCCAAGAAAGCCACTAAAGAATTTGCTGTTGCATTTAGATTGACTGGAACATTAACAATAAAATACTCATTAATCAAATAGCTTTGAATGTAAATTTTTGAGGGTGTTTTTATGAGTGATAGAACTTTGGACTTTAAATATATGGCAATTTTCTTCTGAAATCATTTAAAATTGGGTATATGTGATTTATATATACCACACACATACATGCAAGCATGTACACACATACACACACTTTTCTGTGCTCCTAGATTTTTATGCCACAGTGTAAAAATACACATACTTTTTATGGAACAGGCTATGATCCCCTAGGAATTTATTGTTCTTTTCTTCCTGGTGTGCTGTCAAGCTGACTACAGGTGGAAGGTGTAATTATGAGAGGGAAGAAAAGCTTTTTTGAATTTATGCTATTTTGAATACACAAGTAAATTTAATTTATTCTGTGTGAACTAGGGAATCTGCTTTTGAGCCCAACTGGCTCGGGAGTATCATAGATGCAGAAGGACCCAGAGGGTGTCTGAGTAAGAGAAACCCTTGGTGTTCAACTCAAAGAAATGATTGGGGAGAAACAGGACATGGGTGATTAAGTTACTTAGCCATTTAACTTGATAATTGAAGCCACAGTGTATGTATTCAACTTTGGTTTGCTTGTGTTAAATGCTCCTAAGTTATTTTGATCTTAATGAAAGCTTTTTGTGAATGGCAAGTGTAGTTCTTTTGGGATGTATCTTCTGTTTTGGTCATTACCTTAGTGATGATCACTGTAGTTTCTGTTTGTCATCTCAAAATTCTCTGGAGAGATGGCTCCATGGTTAAAGGCACCTGTTGATTTTGTAGAGGCTTGAATGGAGTCCTTAGCAGCCATATTGGGTGGCTCATAGCTAACTGCCTGCAACTCCAGCTTCGTAAGATATAGCAGTCTTCTGGACTCTGTGGGTATCTGCACTCATGTGGCTTACACATAATTATTTTAGAAAATACGATCTTAGTTTGTCCTCAGATTTTGGGGTAGGGTTGTTACCATTATTGATATGTTTTAAAGTTTTAACCTAAACCCTGGGATCCAGGTTTTGGCCTTCAAGTTCTGTTATTTCCTTGTCCTTCCTCTGTTCCACTCCTGGGACTGATGGAGTACTTAAGCAGTTCTCTGTGATGAGAGCGAGACTCTTGGGCTTCAACAGAGAACACTTAGATTGCCCACTTTAGGGAACTTTAGTCATGGGTCCTTCTTTTCCTTTCTTAACATGGGTGTTTCTCTTGCAGGTAGCTGGTTGAGGACAGTTCTCCATGAATGTACGTCACCATGATGATGACCGACCAGATCCCCCTGGAACTGCCACCCCTGCTCAATGGGGAGGTGGCCATGATGCCACACTTGGTGAACGGAGAAGCAGCCCAGCAGGTTGGTGACTTCCTCCAAGTGGGCAACATTAGCTGAGTATTTGCTTTGTTTGGGGATTCAGAAGTCTTTGCTTTAACTTTCATGGTTCTAGGGATGTTTTGTTGTTGTATAGGTACTGTATTATTTTTAAAATACTTGGAAAAAATTTGAGATCAGAAACTATTACCTCATTCAGCTAGTATTTGTAAAGAGTACAACATAAATTATTTTTTTAAGTGACTCATTGTGAGTCTGTACATTCATTCATCTGTTGTGCTTGACAGATCTGCACACATCCAGGGGAACCTTCCCTGAATCCTGGGGTGACCCTTCCTTTATGAAACTTGGGTGCCCCTTCCCCTGTGGAACCTGGGGTGACCCTTCCACTGTGAAACCTGGGGTGACCTTTCTCCTGGAGTGACCTCTCTACTGTGGAACTCATAAGGATTTCCTTTGAGGGTACTTAACCAGATGTGTCATTCATGGCTTAACATTATGGCACATAACAGCTTTCTAGAAAGTCAGCTACGCAGGACTTAAGGGAAAATATAAACTGTAAATTGTTTGGGTTTTTATCACTGAAACTGAATTGTCTTTAGTAATTATGTTTTTTTTAAAAAAAAAAACTACAAAATTGTGTTTGTTCTACCTTGTAATTACATAAATATATTTTTCTTTGTACATTTCTGTCTTAGTTAGGATTTCTGATGCTGTGAAGAGACACCATGACTATGGCAACTCTTATAAAGAAAGAACATTTAAATGGGGTGGCGGCTATCAGTTTTAGACGTTTAGTCCATTATCATCAAGGTGTGACATGGTGATATGCAGGTAGACACAGTGCTGGAGAAGGAGCTGAGAGTCCTACATGTTGACCACAGGAAGTAGTCTGAGACACTGGGCAAGGCTTGAGCGTATATAAGCATTCAAAGCCTGTTTCTACGGTGACATACTTTTTCCAACAAGACCAATACCTGCTCTAACAAAGCTGCACTTCCTAACAGTGCCACTTCCTTTGGTGGGGCATTTTCTTTCAACCCACCACATTTTCTTAAGTATAAACATACTTGTGTTTTTAGTGGTCAAGTTAGGAGTAAATTTGAAAAATAGTTATCCAAAATAATAATTCAAGTAACTTGAACACTTATCTGCTGATATGAATATGTGTTCCCCATTGCTCCCCCACCCCCAGAATTATCTTTCATTGACTCTCTTTGTCAGGTACGGTCAGAGGTACTTTGTATGCACTGCTGATGGGTCTGACCTTGCTGCTCAATCATTTCTTACTTTCTTCTGTATTGTGGTGTTCTTAAGAACAAGATGTATCTAACAAGGGCTAGAGAGATGGCTCAGCCATTAAGAGCATTTGCTACTCTTGCCCATGTTGGGTGAGCCACTTGTAATTGCAGCTTTGGGAGCTCTGCCACCTTCTTCTGGCCTTCATGGGCACTGCACATGAGTATACACACACACACACACACACACACACACACACACACACACACACACACACACATTAAATAAAAATAAAATGAATCTTATAAAACAAAACACCACATACACCTAATGGGTGCTTCCTAAGCACTGGTTGTTGGGGTGTGGTTCAGTCCCTCTCACCTCTGTAGCAATGCCTCTTTCTTCCTGGACAAGGCTCCATCATACTGTGTAGCATCTTCTGTTTTTTACATATAAACAGCCACACCCAGCCCAAACAGGCCCCCCTCACTGCTGCTGTTTCCTTTCCTACCTCTGTCACTGACTTCTGTTGGGCACCCCCACCCCAGCTCTCATTCCCTCCCAGGCTTCATCTGTGCATTCTCCACAGTATCTTCTCGTCGTACACTTTTGGTACTTCATTCTAAACTCTGGGCTTTCCATCCATTGGCAGTGCCTACTGCGTTCATACCTGTGAGGTCTGTTTCGTGTCTGCGACTACCTGGGCCCATACTTTTCCTGTGTATGTTGGTTGTCTTCAGTGGTCTTTCTGCTTCTGCTTTTATGCTGGATTCTCCAGATAGAAGCTAGAGCTGTCTTCTGAAAATGTAAAGTGTTTCATGTTCATCCCTTACACAAAGCCACCCTGTTGCCCCTGGAGCAGAGCCTGTCTCATAGCCTGCTGGCCTTGCCTGGCCAGCCCTGGCCTTTTTCTCCACTGCTGCCTACTCTCCTTTGCTCTAGTCTCACAGCTGTTTGTGGAAAGCTCTGGCAATTCTGTGAATGGTTTCAGGATTCAAAGTTCTGTCTCCTTCAGCTTTACTAATTAAAGGAACTTAAAAATCCAAGCTATTCAAATGTGATTAGCTTGGAAAGCAACTCAGGACTCCCTGTTGGCACACATGGCCAGCTAGATTTCTCAGAGACACCTTTCCTTGTTGCTTCAGTGCAGTTTTGTGTTTTGGTGATTTTGCCCTTATTTTATGATTCAGTTTGCCCAGAGTAGCCTGTTGTAGCTTATTAGCAGCATAAAGAGCCCTCAGTTCCAGAATTTTCCAACCTTCCCTCAAAAGTGAACTCCTTTACACAGAGACGTGACTGAAGACCAAGAAGACTGGATATCCCAGAAGAACACATGGCATTTTCCTATCCTGTGCCTCTGACTTGTCTCTGTGTAGATGCTGGCTTAGTATATTTGGTCCATTGGGAAGAGTTCTATAAAGCTAAAAGGGGAAAGTTTATTAACTATATATTTTATAAATAGATACAAAACTTTTCCAAATGGAGGAGAAACTTTAATGGAGGGTAGTTCACTCAGCAAAGTATAGGGCTTGAGTTTGATCCTCTGAATCCATGTTAAAAACCAAAACCAAAACCAAAAACCAAAATGGGGACATGTGCTTATTATCCAGTGCTGGGGTGATGGAGATGGGTTCTATGAGGCTTCCTGGCCAGCCAGTTTAGACTACTTGGCAAATTCCAGGCCAGGGAGAGACTCTCTCAAAGTAAAATTCTTTGTGTTTGAGTAACAGCCTTAGAAGTTGACCTCACCTCCACAAGGATGTGTAGACATGTGTATACTGACCACCCCATGTATACATATGAACATGCATATATACACAGGCTCCCACACATGTACTTGGACAAACATTCATGCACATAACATCATGGAGAGTGTTTTAGCTTTTTAAATCTAACTGTGTTAGATTTTTCTGGAAGCATTAACATTAACATTTAACTATTTGATGTAGTTGGACTTTCTTTGGATTGCTAGCTCCAAATAATGACAGAGACTTCTTATTAGTTATGAAAGCTTGGTCTTAGCTTAGGCTTGTTCCCAACTAGCTCTTAAAACTTAAATTTACCCATTTATATCAACCTATGTTCTGCCATGTGGCTCATTTCCTCTACTCAGTACTGTGAGTCCCACTTCCTCTGTGTCTGGCTAGCAAATCCCACCTCTTCTCTTCTTCCCAGAGTTCCTATCTCTTTCCAGAAGTACCACCTATTCTCTCCTGCCTAGCTGTTGGTCATTCAGCTCTTTGTTTAACCAATCAGTAGTTGTCTTGGCAGAGCCACATCTCCACAATGTACAAAAAGATTATCCCACAACAATATGATATCAATGCAAAACTTTCTTAAAGGGACATTGTTTTATAAGTAAACTGTTTGAAATATTTAACTTGTTAGGATCAGACTGAGATTTATCATGCCTGGATGCTGCTGCTTCATCTATCCCTGGGGCTCAGCACAGGGTGGTCTGAATGCCTGGCATCCCCTCATCCCTTTGTGTCCCGAACACCTCTGACCTGTGCCTCTTTCACTTCTTAAGCTTCTACTCCTTGCTTTGGGTCCTAGCTTCTGTACTGGTCTGGGTGAGCATAACGGAATCCAGGATTCCATTAAACTTCGGCCTAGACACATGAGGAAAAGGGAAATTGAAGAGCCAGAAAAGCAACAGTGGCAAAGCAGTACCAGAGATGTCCCTTAAATAGACAGGTAACAAGGCACCTCTGAGAAAGGATGCAGGAGTCCTGAGTACTTGCTCTTTTGGCACTGTGGCTTTGTCTTAAGAGCCGCATGTCCTTGTGCTTAGGTGAGCCTGTGTTATAGAACACTCTGCACAGAATTGGACCTGCACAGACGTTTTCTGAGGCTTTTGCTGTACCTTCCACCGAGGCATATTGTTGCCACAACTAGAACCTTTTGGAGGCACAGGATTGACCTCTGTGATGAACCTTGCAGGCATTGTGTGACAGACTTGTTGAAGGTGACTTTTTTATGGTAAGCAGTGCCGTGGCAACTTCAGTGCTTACTACAAGAAGCTACCCCTGGCTGTCTCTTTGTGAGGAGCTTACTGAAGTGAACCTTTCAAGTGTCACAGTGCTCTTAATAGTTCTGCCTGTGCAGAGGATATTCCAAACATTTCTGTAGGTGCAAAGGAACTACAACAGCCAATGGGAACAGGCTTGAGCTTCCTCCTCCTTTTTGTCTTCATCTTTCTTTCCCCCCCCCCCCCCAACCTGGTCATTTGGTAGATGTTCTGTTTGGTGTGTTTCTTAACTCTGGATTCCTTTTTTAGTTTCCTTTTTAAATTTCTAGAACATTTGTTTTTAAGCTTTGTGGGGTTTTTTTTTTTTTTTTAAAGCTGCTTCAGTAATGTAAAGACCTTCCTCCATCTAGCCAGCCCAGGGTAGCATGCCTTCTGACTTGTTCTAGGGACAGGCTGTTAAAGAGACCTCAATTCTAATTATCCTGGCTGGCCTATAGCACTTCATTTTATTGAGAATGAACTTTTTTTTCCTCATTTGATTTTTTTTCCCTCTTTCTGTTTGATTTTGAAATCTCTCATTTCCCCAGAACAGAACCCATAGCCAGAGTTTTCCCGACATTCTTTTGAATCCACGCTTCTAGACAGTGTATTAGGTGGAGAACTTTCCATGTTTCAGACGGTGCTCATCACTGACGTCTTTGACATCAAATGTTCTCTCCCAGTTCCATGACCTTTTCCACTTTGGGTGAGCTCTTCTTAATAGCATTTCCCCAACAACTTCCTTCTTGCATTCAGTGCTTACATCTTATATAGC